TCACTTCGAACGGTAAACCACCGAAATAGCCATGAGCTCAATATTGTGTAAGCACCAAGGTTCTAGGGTCCTGGAATTGTTTACTCAAATGTTGATTCACGAAGCCAATTCATCCTTTGGGTAGTCATCAGTTTGGTTGAAGAGGTCGCCTAGCTTCATATTGATTTATAACTGAAATTTTAACGAACTAGATATTTTCCTGTGACTTCGCCCGCATATGTCACAAGCGTATGATGTAGTTTCGAATGTCATGCGAGTGATTGCTGAATGTTGCGACTAAATATTTATCATCAGATACTAAGCATATTTGACCACCCACATTTTCGGCAACATCTGTGCTACCAGTGGGTGATCGACCAAGAATGTTATAATCGTAACTAAAAAGATGTAGGCGCACGGGCTCTTACGATTTATGATCGATGGGAGTACTTCGATCGTTTAAGGACATTACAACTTTGTGAACGGAAGGTGGATACGTACGGAAGGTGGATACTTACGTCGCCTTGATTTACATGAACTTTTCAAGCACTCATTACTTTTCGCTACTAGAGAGCGTATTTAAATCAATGATTAAACAATTTTCCAGTATAGCATTGTGAATGCAATATAAAAAAACAAAAATAAAAATTATGATTATTATTGTGAATTCTGCATAGTATCGGCAATCTTAGATGATTTATTTGATTGTTGCTATTAATTTAAAATATTTGAAAGAGGATATGAGTTGGAACAGCACTCATCCGGATAGTAAGGGGTCGTCTGTTCAAGGCCAGCGTGAAGTTTTTTTATTTTCAAATTAAGAAAAAAATGAGCATTATTTATTACTACTTAAATTAATTAGTCTTAAGTACTTTAAAAGAGGAGTTATCAAATCGATATATGATACGATGTAACAGATGTTAATACAATAGATTTGTACAAATAAAAGCATTCTTATACCTATTTGTAATTATTAGTCTCCATCATTCATCATAAAAAGAGAGCATTTCTAGTTTCTAGTTTAGTTAGTGAGAGTTGTCAAACAGAATTAGCGCCAACATGAGGCTTAATCGTAACAAATTAATCAAATAGGTATTGTACATAATCCAGGTTCATTTTAAATCTTTTTACACATTATTGTACATGTTATTCTACTCAGCGAAAATAATTATAAACTTCGCTGTAAGATAAAAATGACACAAACATTTATGTCTTTGATATGACTTATTAGATAGATTGGACCTTGGCTTCCTTTTGCAAAAAATAACTTGAAGTGGAAATAAATTCATAGTTTTTTAATTTATATTTATGTGCTTCTTAAGTCATAAATACTAACTGTGCAGACGTTTTTATGTTCGCAACATACCGAATAAATTAATATTTATGGAAGCGAAAATATTGCTAAATTATAAAAAAAGTATAGCACCTACACGTCTTGATATGCACTTGGCTACCACAATATAACAAATTGATTTTATATACTTTACATTACGTTTTAACAACAATATATTAAAGTTTAAAATCTAGTGGAACAACTTGACAATTTTGCATAGCCGGACGCACTGTTGACTGTACCTAATAATACACCAAAAAACCTTAGTCTACTATAGAAGTGTTCAGTCTAAGCTATACTACTTACCTATCTGGTTATTTCTATATCAGATTCAGGCACAGCTATATCTCAGAATATAACGGCTTACAGCCTTAGAAGGCAGTTCAACTTATTTACTGTGTAAAAACAAGTATTCAACAGTACTCGAACATCTAAAGGTTATTTAATATAACATCATTTTCATTTAAACAAATCAATGAATTCGATAAATATTTAAAACTTACCAAACGAAATGTATTTTCTCAAACTTCACTTGAAACACAATACACTTAACAAACTCACTACATATACAAATATTTATTTCATATTTAATAAAACACCACTGAGCGTCTTTTAATTTTAGTTTTTCGATATTATTTTCGGTTCGTATGCCAACAGCAGAAATTGCGTTCGCGCGCGGAATGACTTGGCGCGCACTTGTTGAACGTAGCGCGGGAAAACTAATCGGAAATATCATATATCGTGAAGCGAGTTGTGTAACATGTATTTGTCTCTTTCATTTCTAAGACGCTCGCAATAACTTGGGAAAAATAAATAACAAATGTATTCATATATTCAAACGAATAAAGTATTCACCATTGTCCTTTTATTAATATTATGTTAAAGACTTCGATCGAAAATTGATTATAGGCAAATTATATTGCAAATAATAGGTAAAAACACGAATCTGAAATAAATGCATATAATGCTCTAAATTTATATTAAGTAAGCATGCTTAAATAAAAAACATGGTAAATATATACATTTTTTAAAGGAATTGTACAAAACTCATAGTATAATAATTATTATCTGTTAGCAGTTAAAATAAATTTTCAACACGTTTTATGAGACATCGTAGTGTTACTACAAAATCATAGATGGTGGAAGTGTAACGCAACCACCGTCTGCCAAATTCTGGACAAATATTTTACCAAAGGTTGACTAGATGGCGCTTTTCTGTGTTTAGTAACAATAATTTGTTTCCGTCATCTACAAAAAAAATGTTTCCGAGACGAAATAAGTAATTTAAATTTTATTTTATAAAAAAAATGACCAACGCCATTACCCAGTGGCTCGTACGCCAGTGTCAGGCGTTTCTTTTCCTGGGTTGTTGTTTCAGTATGCAGTGTGCTGTTCAATGTTTAAATAGATAGGTATATTTTTAGGCCTGTCATGTATAATTTCTTCACGGAATTATTCATCATCAAATTCATCCATTTGTATAAAGATTAGCTGTACTGGTAACGAAAAAAAGGTCAAAAAACTTTAGCTACAATGTTGACTATTGTCAGGTCAACATTACAATAAAACTATCAAATACCTATCTCCATTCTGAATTCTAATTAGAAATTAGAAACACAAATTAAAATTGCGGTAAGTCTTTCTACCGACCCAGACTTCTATGTAAGTATGTACCTACCTAGGTAGTATGTCGTATAAATAGAAGTCTTTGTAGGTACCGACTCAGACTAAATCTGAGGATACCGACGTTTTAATTTTTAAAATAAAGTTAAAATTGTATCATATCCTACGTACGGAGAGGCTATACGGCTATATATTACCTACTTGTGTGTCCTGTAAACAGGAAATTTTCTTATTTTTCATGATTCATGACATGACTAAAAAGTCCCTTATTTGTAGTTTATGTTTATTATTAATTATCTTAACAAAATACCGTAGAGCCATACCAAAGGAAATATATTTAATGTACATATAAGTATTTTTTACTCTACAATTTACAAGGGCACTCAGCGATGCAAATGCAGAAGCTCACACCATCCTAGTTATGATCATGTCCCTTATAATTAGTTGATTATCGAAACGTAATCTCATACATCTGAAGAAAATCTTCAAATAACATTGACTTAATAACTCCATAAAAGGACTTCGCCACGAGACACCGATATCTCATGGACAGCGACACTGATGTATTCATTCAGTGCGGATGTGTGCGATAGTTGTTCTTTGCTATTAAAATAAACAACTACAGAGGTTAATGAAAACTATTGTGAAAATACCGAGTAAATACAAACACTTTAACAATATCAATATCGTAATTTTATGTTAATAACGTCCATTATGTTTAAAAATTGAATTCTTACGTCCAGACGGCTTTTATTTGAATGTGTGAGTTTTGTTTCAATCAATAAAACCACGCGTAGTGATGTCTACTACAAAAATATCGATAAGAGATGTATATTTATATATTAATTACGTGTAGCCAAAATATACATATGATTGTTTTCAATATATATATTTATTTACTATTTAAGCCATTTGGGTTTATGTGTGGTACCTACAATATAGTCGCACTGAGCAAAAACAAAACAAAAAAATAAGTAAATCACCTCTTGCTGTTGATAAAGTAAAAGAGGGTTTGAACAAAATAAGAACTGTTAATAGCTAATAATAATAATATTCCAACTATTAACATGTACTATTTCATTTTAAATTCTTATTTATGTCTTATGAATATCCACTTAGATTACGACATATTCTCAATTATAGAAACGAGTGTAATACCAATTTTCACTATACTTAATAGACGCCAAATCCGTCGTCTAAATACCTATTTAGGAATAGAATAAGGTTAAAATGCATTTCAACAATGGCTAGAAACCACCAAACGACAGTAACGTTTAAAACGCCTTGCTCTACGCATTTGCGTAATTTGTGGCAGGTCTTTTATCCCTTAACACAAATGTGTTAAGGGATAAAAGAAGAAATGTTTATTTGGAACTAAACTAATCTGTTTAGGCGATTAGTAAAATTATGCGTTTTTTAGTTAATCCACACCTTGTCCTTGGTTAGTGACAACGAGTGATAATTACTTTTCCGTATAAAAACTAATATAATGAATGTGTGTTTATTTGTCTTCTTTTATGTCACAATGGAACGTTGATATGATAAGATGGTTTTGTGTAGAAATAGTTAGTCAATTATATAGATGATTCAGAGTATTCAATTACGTAGTAGTGTCAATGGAGACTCGCCTGGGATCCATACTGCAGGTCTTCCAAATACATTTAAATTTAGTGTGATCATTATTCACAACATATTCAATAATGGATGTTGGAAGTTTTATATTATCGTTATGGATATTCGATAATTTTAACATTACAATAAATAACTAGAATATACGGAATTACTTTTGGAACCCTAGATATTAAAACCACCAATAGAAAAAAAGATGCTTCATTGCATACTTATTTTCATTTTATAATATCGATATAAATTCTGCAGGTTTTAACACTAAAGGTGAATGAATCACCAACCCACATATTCCCGCAATGGTGATATAATACAGCTTCCTCCTTATTGGCTGAGCTGCCTATGCGGTAGTTCAATCGACCAATCATATTCTGGCATTCAAAGCGTGGCTCCCCCGTAATGCCGGCACTATATAAGTGAATTTAACGGAATTTTTCGTGTTACTATTCGTTTGGCAAGCCTCTTAACCGGTCGCGCTGAACGACGACTGACATAATTTATTAATTTATTTTGTACGTTAAGTCTACAAAACTCAATTTAAAATGGTGAGTACTGTTTTATTATATACTTCGTAGTATTAAAATTTTTACTAAATCCGTTAATTTCGTGATTTTACTGAATAATATCACCGGGTGGCTACGCCACCATTTTGTCGGCATGTAATCCGACCAAGTTAAATCGTAACCGTTTCCAAGTAATTTCGTTTTTGTTACTGGCTTTTATATCTGTTAGCATTTTACCATTTAATTGTCGTTCTTCGTTTATTTCTACGTTAAATTTCTTCCTCCGTGGTTTTGTTATATGCAAAATGACAGAAGAATGAATTATTTAGTACAGTGGTTAGTCGTGATTTTTAAATTTGGAATTCTATCGAGATAGTCATGCCGGTTGTCAAATGCCACGCCTATATAGATTTTCTTTCACATGATTCCTTGTATGAGTTAATTAACATACAAAAGCGATCACTTGTTTTACGAAATCAGTTGCTCAAAATTGAACATGTGACATCATTTCGGTTTCTCGTATTGATTGATCGAGATAACCGGCGTGACGGCGTTTCGCGTGACCTCATTCGAGGCCAACCGCCCAACACCCGTACCGTGAACAAAACTACAATTTTCGCTAGAGCTAACCTACATAAAGTTATGGCAATTTGAGAAATTTAATGGGCATCGCCTGAGTTTTGCTTTGCGTCCTACATACTTTCTATCACTTTATAATAGCCGCTTTCACCTTTCACCGGTCCATAGATGGTTAGTTTGCGCCAACTTTACATATTTGAGGTTTGATGGAGCTTCAAGCTCTTTTGCTTAAAAAAATAAATTACATTGCTCAACAATGTAATTTATTTTTTTAATTCACGTCTTTTCAGTTTTCATATGTCATAATAAGTACGTACATTATGATGAAAAAATGCTTTTAAATAACAATTATTAACTAAAAGATTCTAAGAGCCTCTATTGAAAGTATGTATTACTTCCATGCGATTAAATTATAACTTCACATTGTGATGCTAAAGACAGGGTTTTTCTTTTGTTTATCACTGAAAGTGTGGGTGAATTGAAAAATTTAAAGCCTGCTCACTTAACTTATACAAAACTGTCAAATTAAAACATTTTCTTGATACTGAATGTGTAGGGGTAAATTTAATAGATGAAATTGTGGACGATTTAGTATTTTATTATAACTTGATGTTGTTGTGTGTACTTGACAATAATTAATAATTTTTGTTATCGTTTGTCTACAGCGTGAGTGCATCTCAGTACACGTTGGCCAAGCCGGAGTCCAGATCGGCAATGCCTGTTGGGAGTTATACTGCCTGGAGCACGGCATCCAGCCTGATGGCCAGATGCCCACTGACAAGACCATTGGCGGTGGAGATGACTCGTTCAACACCTTCTTCAGTGAGACCGGGGCGGGCAAACATGTACCCCGTGCTGTGTTCGTTGACTTGGAACCCACAGTAGTTGGTTAGTATTAAGGATTTTACAATTGATTAATGTATTAATTATTCTTAAAAAATTAAATTTTTGGTAACAACAAAGTAGCATTCATAGAAAATTATTAATTTTTCTCATTTTATTAAAAAAGTTTCTTTTGTCAACAGATGAGGTGCGCACTGGCACATATAGACAGTTGTTTCATCCAGAACAACTTATCACTGGTAAGGAAGACGCGGCAAACAACTATGCCCGTGGTCACTACACAATTGGCAAGGAAATCGTAGACTTAGTCCTCGACCGTATCCGTAAGCTTGCAGACCAGTGCACAGGCCTCCAGGGCTTCCTCATCTTCCACTCGTTCGGTGGTGGTACTGGATCCGGTTTTACTTCCCTCCTCATGGAGCGTCTCTCCGTGGACTACGGCAAGAAGTCCAAGCTGGAGTTCGCTATCTACCCCGCTCCCCAAGTGTCCACCGCAGTCGTCGAACCCTACAACTCTATTCTGACCACCCACACTACCTTAGAACATTCAGATTGCGCGTTCATGGTCGACAACGAAGCTATTTATGACATCTGCCGCCGCAACTTGGATATCGAGCGCCCGACTTATACCAACCTGAACAGGCTCATCGGTCAGATCGTCTCTTCCATCACCGCCTCCCTGCGTTTCGACGGCGCCCTAAACGTCGATCTAACAGAGTTCCAAACTAACTTGGTGCCGTATCCGCGTATCCACTTCCCTCTCGTCACATACGCTCCAGTAATCTCTGCAGAGAAGGCGTACCACGAACAGTTGTCAGTCGCCGAGATCACCAACGCTTGCTTCGAGCCCGCCAACCAGATGGTGAAATGCGACCCTCGCCACGGAAAGTACATGGCTTGTTGCATGTTGTACCGCGGTGACGTCGTGCCCAAGGATGTGAACGCCGCCATCGCCACGATCAAGACCAAGCGTACTATCCAATTCGTGGACTGGTGCCCTACTGGTTTCAAGGTGGGCATCAACTACCAGCCCCCGACCGTGGTGCCAGGTGGTGATCTCGCTAAGGTTCAGCGCGCCGTATGCATGTTGTCCAACACCACCGCTATCGCTGAAGCGTGGGCTCGTCTGGACCACAAGTTCGATCTGATGTACGCCAAGCGTGCCTTCGTACACTGGTACGTCGGTGAGGGTATGGAGGAGGGAGAGTTCTCCGAGGCCCGCGAGGACTTGGCCGCCCTCGAGAAGGACTACGAGGAGGTCGGTATGGACTCCGCCGAGGGTGAAGGCGAAGGCGCCGAAGAGTACTAAGCCGATGATTTATTTATTTTTATATTCCGGCACACTCGCACCAATACATTCCCCGGTGAAATAAAATAAAAACAAGTTATGTCAATTTTTGTCGTTTTAATCAGAGAACCCCCAAAAGCGTTTCTTAAATTATTAGGTTCTTAGCTACACCGTGGAGTACTTATGGTGGTGTATAACCAATAGATAAATGAATTAAGTAGGTATTAATTAAAAATATTAACAGCATATTGAACTATCAAAATTATTTCTCAATCTGGCAGAAATTTTGAAATAAATTTGGCAGTGCCGCCCACACCCTTGATTTTAAAATACATTCTTAGGGTAGATTTACAGCGAGACGACTATACTGGTTAAATCGTGCGTCGCGTTTGATCGCTCTGGCTTGTTTATTTCAATCTTTTTGAATACACTACAAACTATGTCACGCTGGCAGCGCCCGTTATATTTATTCATAATATATCAAGAGACTAGAACATCATGTGAAAAAGAGATAAAAGATGACCTGGGAAGTTTTTTGGAATTCATTATAAGTACAAAGATCTTTATATATAGCTGTGGCGCTGCTATAATTGACAGTAAATTAAGTTACATTTGAGACACTTCAATTGTGCGCGCTGCATGTGATTTTAGTGAGAACTGACCCTAAAGTCAGTATGGCAGCACCACCCTTTAGGATTTTCAAATTTATTCTTAGCATGTCTCGTCAGTATGTCAGCGCCACCCTAAGCCACTGGGGCTCGGCTGCCGCACACACTGTTCGGTGTGTGAGGTGACCGGGCCCGGGTGGCGCCGCGACCGGAGTGGGTAAACTCCAGCTTTTTGTCTAGCCCCTTTGGGGGTGGGACCGCAGGAGGAGTCCCACAAAACTCGTGGATCCCGCGCAGGGTGAAGCGAGTATGCGTAACGCATTTCTCAACGTCAAAAAAAAAGAGGCACACTTACGTAGAAACTGAACTACAAGACATTTTGTAGATTCTGACAGTGAAGAATAATGGCTTAACAATAGCTACCTACGTAAGTTGTCTTTTTTTTGTTAAAGTGAAAAAATATATTTACCACTATGTTTTTGTATATCCCTACCAATCTATTGAGATGTCATATAGAACTTACTTTACGAGAAGGCAACGCTGGGGATTTATCATTATCACTTTTTCTTCAATCAAAGTTATCAAAATACTTTCGCTAAAACTCTGAATTTTTGCCAATTTCATGATTATTATTTGTTGTGATAAATTTCAAGAAACATTGTAGTCGGGTAGTTATCATATAATTAACTATATAAAACATTTAGTAATCTTTTCATTTAAAAATTTGAAGTCTGTTCTATTTTTTGAAAAAAGTTTTTATTTCACTTATCACGTCTTTTATTTACGAGACCATTACGAAATAGGGACTTAAGAAAAAATTACATAGCAATAAGTATTAATACTAGTCACGCTATTATATATTTAACTAGATATGCTCAAAAAATGTAATTCGAATCGATAATCGGATTGCGAAATGGATTCGAATCCCATCTCGAGGTAGTTCCTGGCACTGGTGTTTTTAAAGTATTTAAGCAATATAATTTTAGATTCGTTATCGCTCTCGGGGCACCTCCCACGAGCCGCTTGTTATTCTTTATATCCTGCCATTATTGTATGCAGTAAGTACCTATAGTCCAAGATCATCGGGTCGGTTACGTGTAGGCGACATGACATCACCATCGTGTTTGTCTCTCTTGGCCCATATTTGTATGTATGACGTAACAGTATTCAATGTTAAGTGTGAGTTACTTATCAACTAGTTGTTATTGAAAGTGAAACGCCAATTAAGTACACAAAGATTTATGTATAAACAAAAAGAAGACAAAAAAAATATCTATTTTCAATGAAGATATTAAATTAACGGTTAATATGACATTAACATTAATATGACACACATGAAGTTAATTTTGATTGAAATGCCTGAATATTTAGTTAATCATCCACTGGGATATGTTTTAGTTACATTTGGACAAACGTTCAACTTGGGGCATATCTAGAATTGCCACTATTACTTATAGCTATAGACCACCTAGGAGTCCAGTCTGTAGTCAGTTTTCAAAAGATGAAATAAGGTTGACTTTACGATGCGATCACTTTAATTCTAATTTTGTGCTTTTACAGATTTAGGTTTTTTTAGAGGATTAAACATAGTTACACTTTTAAGGTTTTTACACCGTTTGTAAACCATGAAGGTTTGTGCCAATGCTGTTTATATCTATTTTATTAGATTTATAACAACGATAGAACAATACATACTTTCATTATACACTTAACACAGACATGGTGTGCCCCCAATTCTCAATTCAAAAAAGTGTGTTTTAAGTTTTGTTTTAATATTTGCAGATGTAATATTTTTTTCATAATTCTGAGGGTAATTCGTCCGCCCCGGGCCTCTTATCCTGGGCTCCAAATGACTGAAAGTTCCCTTGATCAAATCATAAATTGGGGTTGTACTACCTTATCTTTCTTAGTTTCGTAGTTTTAGCAGGCGTCTTAGCAGGGGAGGCGGTGTAAACACAAAATCAAGTTTCTGCACCAGTTGTAAAATGTTGTAGATACGGACCTAATACCGCCCCGGGCCCCCGACAGGGTTAGTCGCCACTGCTATACGTGCATACATGGCGTGCATATGATAGTTTTGGACGCTATATTTAGCGCAAGTCTCCATCGTGTGTCTTTTTTCATGTCATCAATCGCTTCTTTGCTTTCGTTTCATTTTTTCTCTTTTAGGTGCAGTCTGCACTCTCTTCTTTCTTTTTAAATTCCATCATGGATCTTTAAGACCGCATTCTAATTTAAGAAAATATTAGGGTAACGACGGCCTGTGCAACGGCCTACGCTACGGCCGATTTCTTCATATCTTATAATACACTAGCTTTCCGCCAGCGGCTTCGCCCTCGCGGTCTTGTATTATACATAAAAACCTTCCTTTTGAATCACCCTATCTATAAAAAAAAAAACTGCATCAAAATCTGTTGCGTAGTTTTAAAGATTTAAGCATACATATATAGGGACAGTGAAAGCGACTTTGTTTTATACTATGTAGTGATAAGATTTACTATACTAATAAGTTTGTACAATTTTGTTTTATAAAAGAGATAAAGTTAAAATATGCTTATGATTAAATATGAACTAACAACTGAAAGGACCAAAACATGAATTTATAAAATTTCCTCAATAGGAAAAGAAAATGACAAAGATCAATTTGTTAGCCATTTATATGATATCGATTTGAAAAAAAAAATGTGATAAAATAAAACTTCGAATTGATAACCCGCTGAGCTTTTCCTGCCCTGCGATTTTGTAAAAATCCAAACCCGAATTTGCATTCAGTCAGGTGTCCAAATTCACTTAAAAAGCGGCATCAGCTCAATTTTGTATTGATAATAACGTTTCGTGGCACAATTGAAGTGAGTTTCGAAAGGACATGGGAATAGAATATCTAACACACGAATATTCAATCGATTTGTTTTGTATTTTTATACAAAAAATGTTATCAATAGAATTTCTACACTAAATGACGTGAATTGAAACATGAGTGAATAAGAATTCGGATCTGGATTTTTAAAGAATCGCAACGGCCTTGACAACGAAGAGGCGGGGCAACGACCGTGATTGTTATGGAAGAGTAGGACATAATTTTTTAAATTAATTTTACTATGAAATGTGAATGATAAATCAATTGATAAAATCGGCAGGTAAGTTAGGTATGCGTGCTATGTTACCAATAAAAGTAGCACAATATCCTATCCTATTAATATTATAGGTAAATTTGAAAGTTTCTTTGGATGTTTATCCGTCAATCACGCCGAAACTACTGAACGGATTTTGATGAAATTCGGTATACAGACTTAGACCACGCGGGCGAAGCCGTTGGCGAAACTTAGATTTAAATAAAGAATAGAAACTACTTATTTAAAATATTGAATTAGATTTCTACTCGGATTTTATTACGTTTTAATATTTTTAGTTACCAGAAGGAAAACCAAACTCTATTAGGATCGATTGGTAGCCTTGTCCGTCCGTCTCTAATAGCCGATTTTCTCCGAAACTACACATAAGCTTTTGGTTTTTAAGAAAATACTTGAGAATGGATCATGCTCCTCTCCCTTCGAAACTACTGGGCTTAAAGTAAAATAAATAAATAAATAAAAGTCAATAAAAAAATGAATAAATAATAAAATGTTTTAATATATAACTAGCCGTTTTCCCGCGACTTTGTCCGCATTTACAGCGTACGTCATCCGCGCGCAAGGTGTAGCTTCTCATAGGTGAAAGAATTTCTATATTCAATCCAGTAGCTTCGGAGTCTATTAGATGCAGACAAATAATCAAATATTTATTGGTATAGATAATTGGTTATTGTTTCCAAAATTTATTTAAGAAAACTGATCTACTGTGAACGTGATATTTCAGTTTCAACGGTGTTTCCGTCGGCTGAGGTTATTTAGCGGTCATTGAACTGTGCTAAAATTAAATGTGCGCCGATGCCGGCCGGCCGGCGCGGCGGGCGCCGCCACGTCGGCGTGTTTCCTTATTTTTTATTTTTCATTAGTTCAATGATTAGAACTACATATCGAGGCAACATTGCTTATTTTTGTATGGTTATACTAAAAGACTGTTAAAACGATATTTTAATTGGCTAGTAATTATGAAGTGCCTTTTTTTAGAAGATTATAATAACACTTATGTTAACCTGGTGCACTATAATTAGTGTTGCCAGACGTCCCGCATTTAGCGGGATGTCCCGCTTTTCAGCCCTCTCAGGACACGTCCCGCCAGACCCCTGAGCGGGACGCCCAAAATCCCGCTTTTTCAGCCATACCGGTAATCACTATGTGAGTGAACGACTGCCGACTATGCATGCGAGGCGCGCGATCTCATAGAAAAGAAGTTCCTTTTATGTTATGTTTTTGTTTTTAGAGTTAAATGTAGTAGCGATTACACGTCCCGATTTCCTAAGTCCAATGCGGCATACATTGCGTTATACCAAGGTATGAGAATGGACAGTTGCAAACAAAAACGGCAATGTATGCCGAGCTAAATGCGTTTCAAATAG